CACTTAGGTAATTACACTTAGGTAATTACACACACACACACACACACACTCCACCCCAGCACCCATCCTAACCCCCACGAGCATAGCTCTCGTCCTGTAACTACTCTTAGCTAATTGCACACACAAACACATACAACTAACATGCACACATGCCACAAACATATGGATGTGCGCTCAACACACGCACGCGTGCTCTCAATACACGCACGCACGCGCGTGCGTGCGTGCACTCAACACACACACACGCATGCATACTCAACACACAAGGCGTGCGCACGCACTCAACACGCACGCACTAACCCCCCCTCCCACCTACCCCTACCCCCACACACTCCTGTGGCCCTCTACCGTTCCTGGTATGTGGTGGTGTTAGTCCCGTGGCCCTCTACCGTTCCTGGTATGTGGTGGTGTTAGTCCTGTGGCCCTCAACCGTTCCTGGTATGTGGTGGTGTTAGTCCTGTGGCCCTCTACCGTTCCTGGTATGTGGTGGTGTTAGTCCTGTGGCCCTCTACCGTTCCTGGTATGTGGTGGTGTTAGTCCTGTGGCCCTCTACCGTTCCTGGTATGTGGTGGTGTTAGTCCCGTGGCCCTCTACCGTTCCTGGTATGTGGTGGTGTTAGTCCCGTGGCCCTCTACCGTTCCTGGTATGTGGTGGTGTTAGTCCCGTGGCCCTCTACCGTTCCTGGTATGTGGTGGTGTTAGTCCCGTGGCCCTCTACCGTTCCTGGTATGTGGTGGTGTTAGTCCTGTGGCCCTCTACCGTTCCTGGTATGTGGTGGTGTTAGTCCTGTGGCCCTCTACCGTTCCTGGTATGTGGTGGTGTTAGTCCTGTGGCCCTCTACCGTTCCTGGTATGTGGTGGTGTTAGTCCTGTGGCCCTCTACCGTTCCTGGTATGTGGTGGTGTTAGTCCTGTGGCCCTCTACCGTTCCTGGTATGAGGTGGTGTTAGTCCTGTGGCCCTCTACCGTTCCTGGTATGTGGTGGTGTTAGTCCTGTGGCCCTCTACCGTTCCTGGTATGAGGTGGTGTTAGTCCTGTGGCCCTCTACCGTTCCTGGTATGTGGTGGTGTTAGTCCTGTGGCCCTCTACCGTTCCTGGTATGTGGTGGTGTTAGTCCTGTGGCCCTCTACCGTTCCTGGTATGAGGGTTGACTTAAGTTTTGGAATAATTTTTGTCGTCCTGTGTTGAACGTTCTCCAAAGCAGCTACGTCGTTCTGAAGATGAGGTCTCCATGCTTGGATGCAATAATCCAAGTGGGGGTCCACTAGAGACTGGGTACGCTCCCACATTACACTTGATTAACTACCTTTTCCTTAAAGTCAAAGATTCGCTTTACTCTGCTGTTTTTATTTTGTTTTATGCCGCTTCCACTTGTGCAACTTTCAGTGATCTGTGGATTCTGACTCTAAAAGTTCTTTTCTTCGCGTCAATCGGCTGCAAGGTAATGTTTATATGTGCACAGAACACACACACACACACACACGCCCTACATGTGTATTCACATGTTCATATATACACACAACACATGTATGCCCGCAAAACATATACACACAACACAAACGTGTGCACAACGTTCATACATCAGGTACAAGGCTAGCAAGCGGGGCATACAGTGCTAGACCTCACCCCCCCCCCCCCCCGTACACACTGATAGGCAAGTGTACGAAACACGAGGCTCAGAGGCACACTCATGTGTACACACAACACATTCGCGCGCATACACACACATCATATACAAATATATGATAAAAGAAACATACCAAAACAGATGCAGGACCAGGAAACAGGATTGGTTCAAAGGAAACAGAGATGTGCCAGAGAGGAAAAGACAAGAAGATGGGTTCACAGTAGTGAGGAGAGAGGCTGAAAGATACTTTGAGAAAGGTATAGCAGACAAATATGAAACAGTTTCGAGCCTTTTCTATAAATTCATTAAAAACAAGCTGCATGTGAAGGATAAGATCCAGAGATTGAGAACGGGGAACAGGATTACAGAGAATGAAAAAGAAATGTGTGAAACACTAAATGAACAGTTCCAAAAGTGTGTTTTGTACAAAATGAGGATTTAGGAAAACCGATTGGAATGCTCTGGAATGCCAATTCCAGAGCACGCTATAGAATACATAGACGTATCTCAAGTCGAAGTGGAAAAATTACTCACGGGGCTAGGAAGAGATAAAGCAGTTGGACCTGATGGAGTTTCACCTCGGGTGCTGCGAGAATGTGCAACGGAGCTGAGCATTCCACTCCAATGAATATTCCAGACATACTTGTGCACAGGACTCTTAGCAGAGATGGTAAAAAGCAAACATAGTTCCAATCTATAAAAATGGTAGCCAAGACGATATTAAATTATAGACCTGGGGCCAGATTCACGAAAACACTTACGAACGTGCACATCTTTCCTCAATTTTTTGACGGCTTTGGTTACATTTATTAAACAGTTTACAAGCATGAAGACTTCTCATTCAACTACTGTTGTTATAAACAGCCTCCTGGTGCTTCGGAGCTCATTAACTGTTTAATAATTGATAACAAAGCCGCCGAAGATTGAGAAAAGATGTACAGGTTCGTAAGTGCTTTCGTGAATCTGGCTCCTGCACATTACACACGTGGTAGTCGAAAGACTAGACAAAATAGTTAAAACCAAATGGGTTGACCACCTAGAGAATAATGACAATACCGGACAGGCAGTATGGTTTTCGAACAGGAAGATCCTGTGTAACAAATCTACTTAGTTTTTATGATAGAGCCACAAAAATTCTCCAGGAAAGACATGGTTGGGTTGACTGTGTATCTGGACCTAAGGCTTTTGAGAGTGTCCCACACAATAGTTCTGGAAACTGGAACATGTTGCAGGGGTGACAGAGAGCTTTCTGACATGGATGAAAAAAAATTCTGATAGATGAGGGCAGTATCAGAGAGAATGTATCTGACTGGAGGAGTGTTACTAGCGGAGTACCACAGGGTTCAGTTCTTGCACCAGTAATGTTCATTGTCTACGTAAACGATCTTCCAGAAAGAATACAGAATTATATGAACATGTTTGCTGATGCTGCTAAAATACTATTGAAGTTAGGAGACGCAGACGATTGTCATGCCCTTCAAATTGGTCTATGTAAAATTATTCTTGGAGAAAAATTAGTCTAAAATAAAATGCTTGGAGCGACATGCGGCAAATAGAATTCAGTGTGAATAAATGCCATGTTATGAAATGTGGAATCAAGAAAATAGACCCACACACAATTTACAAATTATGTGGAAAGGAATTAAAGAACTAATCCAAAACAAGACCTAGGGGTGGTTTAGGATAGTAAACTGTCACCAGAGGAACACACACAACACAGAGGAGTGTAAGCCTTGCTTACCAACTTCAAACATGCTTTTAAAAAACTGTTCGTGAGTTTTGTGAGACCAAAACTGGAATATTGTAGGGAATAGTTGTATGGTTATCTTGAGATGATTTCGGGGCTTTTAGTGTCCCCGCGGCCCGGTCCTCGACCAGGCCTCCACCCCCAGGAAGCAGCCCGTGACAGCTGACTAACACCCAGGTACCTATTTTACTGTTAGGTAACAGGGGCATAGGGTGAAAGAAACTCTGCCCATTGTTTCTCGCCGGCGCCTGGGATCGAACCCAGGACCACAGGATCACAAGTCCCGCGTGCTGTCCGCTCGGCCGACCGGCTCCCTATGGTGCCCATATCTCAAGAAGCACATAAACTGGAAAATGTCCAAAGGCATGTTACAAAATGGCTTCCGGAACTGACAAACAAGAGTTACGAGGAGAGACTAGAAGCGTTAGACATGTCAAAACTAGAAAAAAGAGGTGAAATGATCACCACTTACAAAATAATCAACAGGAATCGACCAAATTGACAGAGGAATTCTTGAAACCAGCAACTTCAATAACAAAAGGACACAGGTTCAAGTTAGGGGGGTAGAAATAGCCTAAGCTACTCTATCCCTTTGAGATGTATTTCTTTCTTCTCTCAATAAACATACTTGAACTTTAACTTGATTCAAGCTAAGGAAACAAAGGTGCGGAAAAAATGTTAAAAAGCTTTCTTTTGCAAACAGAGTGGTAGACGATTGGAACAAGCTAGGCGAGGTGGAGGCCAAAACCGTCAGTATTGTAGTTTCAAAGCGTTATACGACAAAGAGTACTGGGAAGACGGGACACCACAAGGGTAGCTCTCGTCCTGTAACTACACTTAGGTAATTACACACGCACGCACGCGAGGCCTCGTGACTGAGTGGACAGCGCTCGGGGGTCGTAGTCCTAATGGCCCGGGTTCGATTCGAGACGGAAACAAATGGGCAGTGTTTCTTTCACCCTAATTCACTTGTTCACCTATTACCTAGAAATAAATAGGTATCTGGGAGTTAGACAGCTGCTACGGGCTGCTTCCTGGGCGTGCCCGCGTGTTGGGAGGGGGAGGGGGGGGGTCAGTTAGTAACAGTTGAGTGATTGACAGTTGAGCGGCAGGCTGAATGAGCAGGGCTCAACCCCGCAAGCACAACTAGGTGAACACGCACCCACCCGCCGCGTTGAGGCAGCGTGTCAGACAAACACGCATCCATCACCTAGATGATATATCTATATCAAGATATACTCAATATATCCATCACCTGCTGTGCACGCACAATTTCCCGCTGCTACTTTCGTCACTTGCAAATACTTGAATGTTCAACAGTTATTGATTGCAATTGCATTGTGAATGTTGAAAGACGTTTAAAGCGACATAAGTAATCGGAGACGAAAATTGGGGGTTGTTGGCCTATCAACCTTCGGAAGGCTTGTTAAGGCCACACAAGTGATTACTGACCAACCACCAAGAATACTGTAGCACTGGACATTGTCCAGGACTAAAGTTCTCAGTGTACATACACCGAGGTATACTGGCAGGGGTATACCTCTCTGCGTATATCCATGACATGTGCCGTTCTCTACATGTTTGATGTAAACTGTAGGCCTTGGGTTTACAATTATCCTGAGGGCTGACCTGTTGCGGCGCTTCCTTTTTGTCCGTGTTTAATGTTAAGGACGGATGTGGCGGCGGCGACGGCGGCGTCCTGGCTTGGCGTAGCGGTGAGGTGAGGGCGGGTGTGGTGGTGTGGAGCGGCGGTGTCTGGAGCAGGGGCGGTGGGCTCGTCCGACCAGGCCGACGCACCACACGACACTGCGACCTCTGGCTGCCTGCCTCTCTCTCCGTTCCCACGCTGGGCCTCACACTCACACTCACACTCATTGGCAGATGCAGTTTAATGCTGATAAAGGTAAAGTTCTGAGGCTAGGTAATGATGATAGAGTTACAAGATACGAGCTAGACGAAGAGTTAGGGGGTGACATGATAGAAGTTTACAAGTGAATGAATGGACATAACAAAGGGGATATTAATAGAGTATTAAAAGTATCAACTCAAGACAGAACACGAAACAATGGGTATAAATTGGATAAGTTTAGATTTAGGAAAGTCTTGGGTAAATACTGGTTCAGTAACAGGGTTGTTGATTTGTGGAACCAATTACCGCGTAACGTGGTGGAGGTGGGGTCCCTCGATTGTTTTAAGCGCGGGTTGGACATGTATATGAGTGGGATTGGGTGGTTATAGATAGGAGCTGCCTCGTATGGGCCAATAGGCCTTCTGCAGTTACATTTGTTCTTATGTTCCATTTATTTGATGTTCAGCTGGTGGTTCTCTGTTTTCTGCGTTCATCCACGTTTCGGTGGGCGCGATGGTGTCTGTTTTTTCTGTGCGGGCAGGAGCATTTGGTTCGTTTGTTTTGTTTCTTGGACATCTACTGTTGGTGTGGTGTACCCTGGGTGAATTGTTATTTTGAGGCCCTTCAGTTTCCCTGATCGTTTTGCCAATTCCTTTCTCCCTCAGACGCATGCTTTTGTTGCCTCCTTCCTCCAAATCAATTCCCGTACCGCAGTCTGCTGGCAATTTGGGCCCGAACAGGCACCTCTGACCACTGGTTCCAGCTGGTTCGCGACAGCAGCGGCCCCGGCCCTCGATGGATGCACCCCGTCGCGAGCGTGCATTTCGTTTCTTCCGTTGAGGTGTCCCCAGTTGTCTGTGAAAGATATTGCATTTGATCTGTCGTCAGCGACAGGTGACGTAAAAGGGGATTTCGATGTGGATTTACTATATAACTTATTTAAGAATATTCTAAACAAAGCACAGGAACGTAGTATACCATACAAATTGAATAGATTGAATACTAATGACCCAAAGTGGATAACAAATAATTTAAAGAACCTTATAGGTAAAAAGAGAGCTTGGTACAAAAGGATTAAGAATGGGGAAGTCAGGTTAGAACAGGAATTCATACAACTGGTTAGAAATGTTAAAAAAGAGATTAGGAAAGCAAAAAGAAACTATGAAGTTCGCGTAGCAGAGCAAGCAAAGTCAAATCCTAAAGGGTTTTTTCAGTTATATCGAACTAAGACTAGGGAAAGGATAGGTCCATTAAAATCTGAGACAGGTCAAATAACGGACAATGACAAGGAGATGAGTAGTATTTTTAACAAATATTTTATATCTGTATTTACTAAAGAAGAACTTAACAATATGCCTTCAGCCGAACAAGTCTATGTGGGTGGGGATGAGGACAGGTTGACGAGTTTTGCAGTTACCAGGGAGGATGTAATTAAACAATTGGAAAAACTCAAACCAAACAAATCCCCAGGGCCGGATGAAGTGTTTGCCAGGGTGCTTAAAGAATGCAAAGAGGAGCTTTCCGAGCCACTGTCTACCATATTTAATAAATCAATAAAGTCAGGCAGAGTGCCAGAGTCATGGAAGGTAGCTAATGTGGTACCAATTTTAAGAAAGGAGATAGATCACTTGTGTCAAACTATCGGCCAATTAGCCTAACGTCTATTGTGGGAAAGTTACTTTTTTTTTTTTTTTTTTTTTTTTTTTTTTTGAGATATATACAAGAGTTGTTACATTCTTGTACAGCCACTAGTACGCGTAGCGTTTCGGGCAGGTCCCTGGAATACGATCCCCTGCCGCGAAGAATCGTTTTTTCATCCAAGTACACATTTTACTGTTGCGTTAAACAGAGGCTACAGTTAAGGAATTGCGCCCAGTAAATCCTCCCCGGCCAGGATACGAACCCATGACAGCGCTCGCGGAACGCCAGGCGAGTGTCTTACCACTACACCACGGAGACTGTAATCAATAATTACAAATACAATTCGTCTCCAAATTGAAAAACATAAATTAATAAATGAGTCGCAACATGGTTTTACAAATGGCCGTTCATGTTTAACAAATTTGCTAACTTTTTATTCCAGCATAGTTGAGGCAGTTGATAGTGGTAAGGATTGTGATGTTGTGTACCTTGACTTTAGCAAAGCTTTTGATACAGTGCCACATGAAAGACTAATTAAAAAAATAGAAGCTCATGGTATTGGGGGTGCTATATTAACTTGGATTAGGGCTGTTCCAAAGGAAACAGAGAGTTAGTATATAAGAACATAAGAACAAAGGCAACTGCAGAAGGCCTATTGGCCCATACGAGGCAGCTCCTATTTATAACCACCCAATCCCACTCATATACTTGTCCAACCCATGCTTGAACCAATCGAGGGACCCCACCTCCACAATGTTACGCGGCAATTGGTTCCACAAATCAACAACCCTGTTACTGAACCAGTATTTACCCAAGTCTTTCCTAAATCTAAACTTATCCAATTTATACCCATTGTTTCGTGTTCTGTCTTGTGTTGATACTTTTAATACCCTATTAATATCCCCTTTGTTATGTCCATTCACCCACTTGTAAACCTCTATCATGTCACCCCTTACTCTTCGCCTTTCCAGTGAATGCAACTTAAGCTTTGTTAATCTTTCTTCATATGAAAGATTTCTAATTTGGGGAATTAACTTAGTCATCCTACGCTGGACACGTTCAAGTGAATTTATATCCATTCTATAATATGGCGACCAAAACTGAACTGCATAATCTAAATGGGGCCTAACTAGAGCAAGATATAGCTTGAGAACCACACCAGGTGTCTTGTTACTAACGCTGCGATTAATAAATCCAAGTGTCCGATTTGCCTTATTACGAACATTTATGCATTGATCCTTTTGTTTTAAATTCTTACTAATCATAACTTGGTTCTTAAGCTATATCTTGCTCTGGTTAGGCCCCATTTAGATTATGCAGTTCAGTTTTGGTCGCCGTATTATAGAATGGATATAAATTCACTTGAACGTGTCCAACGTAGGATGACTAAGTTAATTCCCCAAATTAGAAATCTTTCAGAAGATTTCTGAACTGCAGAAGGCCTATTGGGTCATACGAGGCAGCTCCTATCTATAACCACCCAATCCCACTGATATACTTGTCCAACCCGCGCTTGAAACAATCGAGGGACACCACCTCTACCACGTTACGCGGCAATTGGTTCCACAAATCAACAACCCTGTTACTGAATCAGTATTTACCCAAGTCTGTCCTAAATCTAAACTTATCCAATTTATACCCATTGTTTCGTGTTCTGTCTTGTGTTGATATTTTTAATACCCTATTAATATCCTCCCTGTTATGTCCATTCATCCACTTGTAAACCTCTATCATGTCACCCCTAACTCTTCGCCTTTCCAGTGAATGCAACTTAAGCTTTGTTAATCTTTCTTCACAAAAAATATTTGTTAAAAATACTACTCATCTCCTTGTCATTGTCCGTTATTTGACCTGTCTCAGATTTTAATGGACCTATCCTTTCCCTAGTCTTAGTTCGATATAACTGAAAAAACCCTTTAGGATTTGACTTTGCTTGCTCTGCTATGCGAACTTCATAGTTTCTTTTTGCTTTCCTAATCTCTTTTTAACATTTCTAACCAGTTGTATGAATTCCTGTTCTAACCTGACTTCCCCATTCTTAATCCTTTTGTACCAAGCTCTCTTTTTACCTATAAGAACATAAGAACAAAGGTAACTGCAGAAGGCCTATTGGCCCATACGAGGCAGCGCCTATTCTATAACAACCCAATCCCACTCATATACTTGTCCAACCCGCGCTTGAAACAATCGAGGGACACCACCTCCACCACGTTACGCGGCAATTGGTTCCACAAATCAACAACCCTGTTACTGAACCAGTATTTACCCAAGTCTTTCCTAAATCTAAACTTATCCAAAAACTTACAAGGTTCTTTAAATTATTTGTTATCCGCTTTGGGTCATTAGTATTCGATCTATTCAATTTGTATGGTATACTACTTTCCTGTGCTTTGTTTAGAATATTCTTAAGTAAGTTATATATTAAATCCACATCAAAATCCCCTTTTACATCACCTAGATAACTTACATAACCTTATAGATAGGAGCTGCCTCGTATGGGCCAATAGGCCTTCTGCAGTTACCTTTGTTAGGTAATGATGATAGGGTTACAAGATACGAGCTAGATGGTGTTGAGATTGCGAAGTCGAATTGCGAAAGGGATCTGGGAGTTATGATTAGTAAGAATTTAAAACAAAAGGATCAATGCATAAATGTTCGTAATAAGGCAAATCGGACACTTGGATTTATTAATCGCAGCGTTAGTAACAAGACACCTGGTGTGGTTCTCAAGCTATATCTTGCTCTGGTTAGGCCCCATTTAGATTATGCAGTTCAGTTTTGGTCGCCATATTATAGAATGGATATAAATTCACTCGAACGTGTCCAGCGTAGGATGACTAAGTTAATTCCCCAAATTAGAAATCTTTCATATGAAGAAAGATTAACAAAGCTTAAGTTGCATTCACTGGAAAGGCGAAGAGTTAGTGGTGACATGATAGAGGTTTACAAGTGGGTGAATGGACATAACAAAGGGGATATTAATAGGGTATTAAAAGTATCAACTCAAGACAGAACACGAAACAATGGGTATAAATTGGATAAGTTTAGATTTAGGAAAGACTTGGGTAAATACTGATTCGGTAACAGGGTTCTTGATTTGTGGAACCAATTACCGCGTAACGTGGTGGAGGTGGGGTCCCTCGATTGTTTCAAGCGCGGGTTGGACATGTATATGAGTGGGATTGGGTGGTTATAGATAGGAGCTGCCTCGTATGGGCCAATAGGCCTTCTGCAGTTACATTTGTTCTTATGTTCTTATATGAGTGGGATTGGGGGTTATAAATAGGAGCTGCCTATTTATAACGAGAAGGCCTCGTATGGGCCAATAGGCCTTCTGCAGTTGCCTTTGTTCTTATGTTCTTATAGGTAAAAAGAGAGCGTGGTACAAAA